GTGCTGTGATTACTGAACATGTATTGTGCTTTAATATCGTGCTTTTATATGTTTACACAGTTTTATTACAGGTTTTATTTCATTCATCTTACCCCAACATGTTTTAATCTTTTACGATACCTACACCTGTTCTTATCTGTCATTTTATTTTCGATTTACACTTGCCTTGGCCTGTTTTACATTTACTTTGTCCTACCATATCTTGGCTTTACCTTGTTTGTTTGAAGCTGTAATATAAGACAAACAATTAAAGAGGTCAAAAGTCCTTTGGACACACTATACCGTGCAGAATTAATTTCTTTTCTCCAACAGCATTTGTAAATTTGTGCCATGGGCTAGTATCACTTGAGAGCTATGGATCTCATTATCAGAATATAATTGTGAACAATATAATCTTGATTTTTAGTGTAAAAATGGCAGTTTTCCACATGATCTGTTCCATTAGTCATGTTATAATGGCAATTTCCCAGTTGTTGTATAAATAGAAAATAACTTAAGTATGTTTGCAGTTATGTCACAAATCTGTGGCCTTCCTATAAAATATATGACTGACAATAGTTTGACATATTCAGTCTGGCCAAACCTGAAATAAAGAAAAAAACTGCATAAACAAAATAGAGTGCACACAGTTATGCATTGCAATTTATTCTTAAATAAAATTCAATAGAAAAGAGCCCATTCTGAAATCCAAACACCACCTGCGGATATTAGGTACAACTCCATGAGCAGCAGGTAGAAATAGTTTTCTCAAGAATATAGCTGACTTATAACAACAACAACAAAATGTAATCAGCATGATCCCTGAGAGCACCTTAGAAATAAAATATAACATACAATAAGATTTCCAGAATAAGAAGTGACTCTTGAAAAAGATGTGCGACTCCCATTATTATTCCTTTCTGCTCGTGTTCAGAGTGGCACGTTTGCACATAAAATAGCATTGTTTCAGGTGGTATTTAACAAAGTCCAGAAACTAGACCGTGCTGGTCAACACAGGTCATTTAATATGACCATGACCTCTGTCTAGTTCAGTTCGGATATCTGTGCTTGTCACATAAACCGATGTCCTATGAAACGTCTCTGTAGAAAACACTTGTGGTGGCATGTAAGTGCATATGTGTATTCACCATCTCCTTCGAGGGCTGGTGAAATGAATATACTGAACATTGTTTTGATCTAAAATACAGGTGGCAGGTTTTAGCAGCTGAGGGTAAATCCATCAATATGGTTCGGACAGAGAGTCTGCAGGGGTGGGGTCGACTGGATCTCCTGTAGTATTGTCAGTGGGGTTGTCCTTATTAGCGCCACTGGCCTGGGTGACACTGTCATTAGCACAAGAGTCACTGTCGCTATCAATGGTGATGACGGCGGGTGAGCGCTTGTCCGTGCGTTCATGACTCTTATGCCTTCTGCTCTTCTTCTTGTGTTTCTTCTTTTTCTTATGGTGACGCTTGCTTCGCTCATGCGCTTTTTCGTCATTGACCAGCTCCACGCTAAGACTCCTGCTGGTCTTTCTCGACCTCTCTTTGGATTTCTTGCGACTCTTCTCTTTGTTTTTTTTCTTGTGTTTTGTTAATCCTGCGGAGTCACCTTCTGCGTTGCCGGTGAAAAGTGTGCTATTAGATGGTTCGTCCAGATGCCTTGTTTTGTATTTCCTCTTCCCACCGGGCTTGTCGTGGTGAGATTTTCTTCTTATAGAAGGGGAGCGACTGCTGGAATAAGTCCTCGATCGAGAATGCCTCCTATCCCGTCTCCGTGAGTCCCTGCTGCGGCTCCTGGAGCGAGAGCGCAAATCTGAGGACTTGTGGCTACTGTAACAGTAGTACTGCCTCTGTGTTAAATGCATCCCATCATTTCTCTCCTGGCCGTAATGGCTATACAACTGATAAGTGTGATCACTGTCCCTCCTTTTGTAATGAAAGTCAACTTTTGAGTAGTCCCTACCCCTGGACTGCCAGTAGCCTCTGTCAGTGGAATGAGTGCTTACACTGCTGTGGGATATCATTGGGCTCCTGCTAGAGTGTCTGCGCTCTCCACTTCTTGACCTCCTCCGTCTCCTATGGTCTCTGTCCTTTGACCGATGCCTCTCCCGAGATCTCTCTTTACTGTCAAATCTTCGTTCTGTGTCTTTTCTGTTTGATCTGCAGGATGTCTTGCGTCTGCTGGATGTTGAAGAGCTGCATCTTTCTTTTGAATCCAATCGATCGTGGTGTTCTGTCTCTAGATTTTCTGATCGCCCGACACCACTGGGATCACTGCTTTGTGACGCTGCAGGACTCAGACTGCTGAAACGGATGTGCTGAGGCAGAAGAGGCACTTCTTTAGTATCTTCACTGGCAGATTCGTCAGAGTCAGAGGACAGCTGAACCAGCTCAGGAGTCCTGTCTGCTGTTGGTTTAACGAAACCTACAATGACACAGTCGTCATTGTCAGAAGAAAGACACTCCTCATTATTACGTTCACCCTGAGTCAAGTCTGTTTGGTTATGAGGACTTGTTTGCTGTGGAGAAGCGCCAAACTCGTGTGTTTCTTCTTCTAAGCTGGTATCAGAGTCTGAGTCCAGGACTGACAGGCGTTCTGCTCTGGCCTGCTCTGCTGTGGTAGAATATGATGGTCCAGGCGTCTCATCATCCCACATGGAGTGGCTTAGAGTAGATGTAGAGGCTCCGGGATGGTCCAACTCTGTGACATTGTCCTCGTCCTCTGAGATAGCAATGACAGACGAGTTGGAGCTGCTATCTTCATTTGATGAAGGGGCTGGGAAGTCATAGACAGCATGCTGGTCATACGCCTCCATATTAAAGGGGGACTTTGCAAAACTGATGAACTCGTGCAGAAAGTGCTCGGTGCGACCCTGGAGAAACGGCCTGAGCTCTTCCTGAATAGCTCCATCCTCCATGTCATAACGTGTAATGCGTGACATGATGATGTGTTGAACTATGTTGACCAAAGAGCCATGGGCCCCGTATAGCACAGTGAGTTCTCTTTTCAACCAGGGGATCAGTCTATGCAGGCAGGCGGGATTTCTTCTGTAGAACTCAGCTGAGGTGTCTCGAGAGCGGCCACCATCTCGAACATTTCGGACCCTAAACCCCCGTCGGTACAGTTCCCTCCTGAAGTTTACCATTTCTTGTTCTCGTACACTGTTCACTGCCCTGCCTTCACTTGCAGCTCTTCTCCTGGCTGCCAACCTCGTCATTACCTGCTGGATATAACGGTCGCACTGCCGTTGGGGAAGATTTGAAGAGGCTTCGAACATTACTCCATTGTCTGGAGGTGGAGAGGTCCTTCGCCTCGCCTGCCGTTGGACTCCGGTAAGAGTTGTGCGGTATCTAAACCGCACTCCCTGAAAAGTGCCAAAAGTCGCAGTTTCCAGTGGCTGCAGGTCATACTTCTTAAAGTCTTGCTCTGATTTTATACTGTGATAGATTGAATTAAACGGCTGTTTGCACAGTGGACATTCGGCCTTGTTCTTGGACCACTCGTGAATACAGCGGAAACAGAACTTGTGCAGGCAGAGATCCAGGTAAGACATGTTGTTAAATATGTCCAAACAGATGGGACACTTGGAGTCTGGCGACACCTCTGCAGACATTGTTTTAGAGGTTTTCCTTCTGCCACTCTTCTGGCTCTGCTGCAGGGCAACCTTGATTGCTGACATGATCTGACAAAAAGAAAAAGCAGATTAATATAGGTCTGAATTTGAAATTCTATCAAAAAGGAATGGTAGGACAGTTACAGAAAAACCAGCAACCTATCACCTATTATAAAAGTGAAACATGTAAGGTTGCTGGTGTGCATTAAAATCTGAGGTTTCTAATATTCTGCCCCACAGAAGGTAAACGTTGATTACAAAAAAATAAGACATAAATTCATTTAATGTAGCCCAACACCAACTCTAACTATGATAGACATAGAAACTGATCTCTACATTTCACACAGTGTCACCAACCTGAATATACTGAACTGAATTACAACAGCTAATGCTGCCATATCACTGGGACATACCAGTTTATTTGTTGTCTCTCCAAATGTGGAGGAAACGAAAATGTCATTGCTATTAATACCACATGAGCTTAAAGTGCATGTTTCTACTCGATACATATGAGATCAAACGTTACATTATCTCGTAATAACGACAAAAATCCGTCAGACAGTCGGTTATGACAGTCCCTCATACATAACTATGAAGGACTTACAATAGCGCTGTAACGTTACATATTAGACCCCATAAATGTCTTCCTCTCCCATTGCCAAGCTTGACAAACATGTCACAACTGAGAAGAAAACATCACAATTAACGCGCTGATGTGAAAATCGAAATTCCTCTCTATCCTCCCTCGCGTTTAATGATGTTGTTTTTCGTTTTGTTAGCTTAGCAGGTTCTAGCTTAGCAGGTCAAGCTACAGCAGTGCTGGTTCCCTCAAAGAAGTGAGTAGTGTCGACAAACAGCAACAAATACGTCGAGTTTAGCGTTGCTGCAAATATATTTACAACCACCACGTTTATATGAATTATTCTGCCAGAAGTGCGGTGATGTGGTCAGTGTTTTAAAGTTCAAGAAACCACATTAACTTGTTTGGTTAAAGTTAGCAGGCTAGCTAAGTAGGCTAACGCAGTGTAGCTTGGGAGGCTAACAGCTCTGCGGCTAGTTAGAAGGTTGGAGAAAAGTTGTGTAATATTTACCTCTGACTTCCTCACACACGTACGTGGCTGGCAACTGACTGCTCCTCTCCGTGTTGTGGAAAGTTAATCATTTCTATATAACCGTGTGACTGTTATCAAGATCATAGTTAAGAAGATCCTTCCTTCCATGTCACATCGTACATTCAGAGTATTCCATAATTCAACAAGCAACTTCTGCCTTCACAATAAAAGCATCACGTTTTGAAAAACAAAACAAAACATCACAAGCATTTATTTGTTGTTGTTTTTTCAACCTTTGCTTGAACTAAACGTACATTAAAGTGTGGATAACAATAAGTTATTAATACATATTTAAAATATGAATAAAAAATTGAGCATTTATTATTTTTTAAAACAAATGAATGACCTAAAATAGTGCTCAGTGAGGAAAAAATGGATTTTCCAAGCACCTGAAGAGTGTGTATGACAAGGTACAATTTAAAAGACAGAAATTAAGTAATGTGAGAGGGTAGAAATACAGACTGTAAGCTTGTATGGCCTGGCAGAAGGACGTACAGCTCACAGTGGTGAATACTATAACCATCACCGGTGTTAAATAGGAACAAAGATACAGTCACAAATTAAAAACCCTCTTATTTCCTATATACATTTAGTGCTAACAGCAGTTGTAGCACAATGTATGTTTACTATAACCCTTGCTGTCTTAAGAACTAACACATTTGTTTACTGAGATTTAGGGTCCAAATTTTACAAACCACTTTTTTTTTTTTAAGTAGTTGACTGGTGTGTGTGTGCTCTCTGGAAATCCAGCGTATCATCCGTGGTTGATACACCAAGGTTGGCATGAATCTCAAATTTAAAGTCTACATGTAATTATGATCAGCCACAGATATGCAGCTCTCCATCAGTTACTGCAAATGGATTTATTTTTTTTCCTATTAAATGATGTTAGCTTTAACATTAGGGATGCTTTGCCTTCATGTTGCACCTCAGCCCAATACCATGCTGCAAAATGTCATGCATCAAACTATATTTTGATTTACAAATTACAGACAACTGAAAATCCATGCCTAAATGAGATTTCATTGTTCTTTTTTTTGTTGTTGTTGCAACATTTAGCTATTGTCCAAATGCATTACTTTGTTTTTGTAATCATTGTGTTCATTATAATGCTCTGTGATTCAACTTTGACAAGTCGTGTTCAAAGATGACGCCATCTACTGGAGTTTTTATGTTTGTATTCTTTGAAGGCCACTCTGTCACGCTTCTGAAGATTCTTACTGGTGCTGCACCACTAAAAAAAATGGCCATATGAGATCTGCTTGGCTTCCTATTGAAGACTTGATGCCAAATCTGTTGTCAGCTTTGAGGTTAAACATGACCATGTTTTGAGAATAGAGGAATTTTTAACCAGTGAACTTAAAAATAAAAATAAAAAATTACGTTACCTTGGAGTTTGGGGGATTTATGAGTCTACATGTATCACATCCAAAGCACATCTCAAACAAATCCTATATGAGTCCACAAAACCATTCTGCTTGAACATGTTTTCAAACTATCATTCCCAGCAGTTAGAATACTGCAGTGGAGAGAACAAGTCATTCAACAAAACACAGCAAATCTAAATGTAATTGTCAAGGCCTGGATGGGAATTGTGATCTGATCAGAATTCTATTCTAGGCTGGCCTGGAATAGCATCTTCCTTTTTTTCCTACGGATTCCATAGATACATATATATAATAAAGGCTTTTATTATATATATCTATGACGGATTCTGATCTGGGCCGTCCAGTCAGAATTCTGATCCTGTCTGGTCCAGATTGGAATCTTGACACCAACCTGGCCCACATTGGAATTCTGATCTTGGCCGGCTCAGATTGGAATCTTGACTTGCTGGCACAGATCAGAATCTTGGAATTATTACTATTATTATGATTATTATCTTATGGAATATTGATTCAAAGACAAGATTCAAAACAAGTATTAATCTTTTAGTAAACTTTTTTTAAGATTTACAAGGTAGTGACATATATTGAAGCATGATGAATATGAAAGTTTAAAGTTCTTATTCTTTAAAAAGTGTAAAATTTCTATTTCTCATAGCTGTACACATGTATTTGTATGTTGTAAGATTAACACTATGTAGCAACACTGATGTAGTTTTCTTATACTGTATTACCGCATGAAATTCGATAATTTGTAAATGAAATGTATGAAAAGATTTTTTTTGTGTGTCTTGAATCTTGCATGTTTATCAACACCTCATGTAAATAATAGTAATTCCAAGATTCTGATCTCGGGCCAGCAAGTCAAATTCCAATCTGAGTCGGCCCAGATCAGAATCTGTCGGAAAACAAAATGAAGATTCCATTCCAGGCTGGCCTAGAATAGAATTCGGATCTGGGCCGACCTGATCCGGAATCAGGCCGGATTCTAATCTGGGTCTTGACATAGTGTTACCCTTAATACAATCTCCTAGAAAAAAAAAAATCTTAAGAAAGCCTACTGGAATATATTGCCATGTGCAATAACGTATAAAGTTGGACTCACACACATAAATTACTGTAATATTTTAATGGCATATACACAGTTTTTACAACATAAACTCAAGGAAATAGTTGAAATTTTTCAACTTCAATGATGGCTGTGGGTCTCAGGGAGATCAGGGAGAACTTCGCCTGTCTCCATAATGGTGTCACCCTGGGCACAAACAAAAAGACAAAACAAAGCATTCAGAAAACACTCTTATCCTCCGTCATGACATCTCAGGGAGCGACTCTACGAGGTTAACGTAATCTCAGACAGAGGTCTGTTTGCGTGGGTCAGATTTGCTATAGTTTTTAAAGCAAGCTAATCAGAATTTTATGTACAACAAATACAAAGAGTGATTATATTGATAATAAAGGTTCATTGTTGCAATCAATAAACAAGTTATACTTACTGGGAACAGCTTGGGTTTCAATGCCACCACACCATAGGGTTTAGCCTGTGGGGAACAATGACAATTTTCTCTTTGTAAAGTTCACATTTGTATAAACTGAGTAATGTAAGGCAGCCTTGTTTGTTAAATCCAAGTGAGAATTAAAGCACATAGAAAAAAGCCAGCGGTGCATATCTGTTAATCTAAAGTGTCACTGCTTTCTTTCCATGTTACTCAGCTTGTATGCTACCTACAGAATTAAAAAAAGAAACAAATCTTTTGACAGTCGTACATGTATGTTGTTGTGCTTTGTATAATGGCTCTCTCATTAGAAACTTACATGTGCAAATGGTAGGTACAATGAAATATCACAAAAAAATTGTTGAACATTTCTGCTAACTTACAGCAGCGTGATATTTCACGAAGTAGTGACCAATCCAAGCAGGTATCAACACCCGTGTTAATGTGAAAATGCCACCTCTGTACACCTTGTGGGTCTGTAAAGAGATAAACAAATAGTAATGAAGAGATGCATATAATAAAACCAAGCATTTAACTTACATATCCAGATCACATCTACAATCATTTTAGAACATGACATATTGTTAAAACCCTCTCTATGGCAGCTATAAATGATCAATCTAATCCAAGCTACGATTTTGACAAAGGGGGTAGTATTAATTCAAAAACTCTATATAGGGTCAGTACATGTCAGAATTTAGCTCATGTGCTTCTGCACTGAATCTACAGAAATATAACTCCTACAGCCATGAAATTTGGTGATGCCGTTTGTTTCCAACAGATCCTAATGATCAAAAGTCTCCAGCAGAGGTTATCTTTTTAATCAGTTGCCCTTGGAAATGGAAAAAAATACAAAAGATTTTAAACAGGACTGGTATTGAGGCTCCAGAAAAGTCCTGCAAGTGTAAATACATTAACGTATCCGTATTTCTTACTAAAAATACTGCGTTTGCTCAACTTTTCACCAACTTTTGAAGCCTCTAATGTCAACTGATGTGTGGACAGATGGAAAGCCAAAGTTCCAGCTTTTCACTGTGTCGACATGCCAAAATGCAGACGTGGACTCATTCCCGGGACAAGAAGTGGAGCGCAAAGAGATGTGTGCATTGCCATTGCATATGCAAAGTTATTAGCTGCTTCCACATTGATTTTTTTTTTCCATTCACAAGCTCTACTAATTAAAAATCTACCTTCTGCTTGAGCCATTTTGCCAATTTTGTCTGTGTCCTCACCAAATGTCATGGCTGTGAGAGTTACATCTGTGGAGATACTGAAACATTTAAATGGCTCTCCAAGTATAACCCTTAAATAAAGTATACATTAGAAACACATTTCAGTTTACACAGCGCAACTTTTTTTTGAAGGTGAAAATACCAAAATTCCCAGGTCTAAAAACATATGCAATTCCTAAAATTTTGCCAAAATATTACAAAACTTGAGTCCCAAATCAACACTACCCTTAACAGACAAGTCAATAACGTTTACTTAGGACGTTTCCCCACGTTGGAGGTGAGTGAACAGCTATTCTGGCTGTACTGTAATTGTCAACAAGATAACGTTATATTTATTTTGAAAAAGAAAAAAAGACAGTGACTTTCGCTGCACTATGTAAACTGCTCAAGCTGTGTCTCATGTATACTTCAATCATGAGCGGTTGTTTTGCTAGCTAACTAGGTAGCTAGCTAGCTAGCGTTAGCTGTATATCCGGACTCACGTAAAGCCTCCACAGGCTCTTCGGCTCCAGAAAACGAGTCCAGAACCTTTCGTGGGCGCTGACTGGTTTAGCTGGTAACACCGGCTCCCTCGGACTGAGCTCCTGGTCCTTCAGCCACTGCCTCCGGAGTTTCCATATCTGATCGATACGGAGCTTCTCGTCTGGTGTGTAGTCCCGCATTTCTTATTGTGGATATTCAACCTCCGAATACCCACAATGACACCATGGAGGACACTTCGCTCTGCAGCCAAGTGTACCAACGAAGAAGAAGCAGCATCAGCTTGGCAAACTCTAGCGCGCCACCTACTGGACCAGAAAACTTTATTTGAAGAGCTAATTAGCAAAAACATTTTTTGTAGATTTTCAGAAAACGTGTGTTTTTGTTGTTTGCTGGAGATAAAATCAGTCAAACTGAAGTTAAGTGGATTTGACTCAGTAGAAATGACATGACAAAAATAGAGATAACTTAAGTTTGATTGATGTTGTCTCAGGTAGAGGATGGAAAAGTGGGTTTTCTGAAGGTTTGTGAAGATAGAGTTGTCTGTTTTTGCAAATGAACTCTTCATTTGTTCCCAGGGGGCAATTAAAAAGGCACGAAGAGCAGACAGCGCAACAATGACATAAGAAATTAAGTAGAAAAAAATAAGTCTTGATTCCTTTTTTTCTACTGAACTTTCATTCTTGTTATTAAGATAAGCAACATAATTTTTTTTAAAAAGAAAAAAAAAGGAATGTATATATATACAAATGTAGGACAAGTAAGATAGCAAGAATAAAAACAGAATGAAAGAAAAGACAGAAAACAAAACAAGAAAAACTCAGTAACATACTAGTGCAAGTACAGATAAACAATGTACACAGGTGCAAATTGGCACTATGGTAGATACACTAGGTAACGTACAGAGTGCAAAATGGCAGAGTTCACAGTAGGTTCACACTAAAAGTCCGTGATTGTGTGTCCGGGTGTGAGTGTGGTGACCAGAAGGGAGCCATTCAAATGCTAAGAAGAGAGCATGTGAGGGATCGATCCGGTTTGCCAACCTGCATGTTCATGTCCATACACTGCAGACAGAGCTCCAGACAAGAGCTGTCACACCAGTCCACAAACTCCTGGAGGACTGAACCGTGGGATTGAGAAGGCTCTGGCAGCAGAGACAGGAGGACTGTGTCATCACGTTACGATTTTAGTTTGTTTTTTAATTGTGATGTTGTTATACAACGCACTGAATATACAATTTTTTAAAAAGTGAAAAGAATAACATAACTACTGAGGTATCTGAAACTGTATCTTAGTTGGATTTGATCACAGCATACAAGCTCCAGACAAAGTTACAATTAGTGACTTATGCTTTTAAATATAATATCTTTGGTATCTTTGGTTTATGCCCATTTTTTTCACTCGATGGTAAAATAAACCACATGGCTGACAGGGAGCTTCAACATTTGATGAGTAACTACACTGTAAGACATTAATAGTGGAGTAACTCATCTTTTCTTGTTTAGTTTACATAAATATATACATTTTGTGAATCTGAAGTCAATTTCAGCACTTGTAGCTGATAGTTCTTCATGTCAAATAAAGAGCTGATTACAAAAGTTAAAAAAATATAAAAAAGAAAACAAGTCTGTGATGACTGCCTGAGAGACTACGCAATTGATTCAGTTTATTATCTTGAGTTGACTAAACTTGCTCTATTAACTCAGTTCATTTTACATGACAAAACTCAAAAGTTAACACTGAAATAATTGTGCAGCCCAAGTTCAGTTTAGTTTCATTTTTAAGGCAGCAGTTGTATTTGTGTTTCTAAGTTGAACAAACTTTAAATTATGTAGTTTAAAGACTGTAGGTATTATAAAGCCTTTTAAAAGAAGCCCCACCAATTTTACAGTCAGTTTTGGTTAGGCTACTCCAAGGCCAAAGGAAGCAGCTGTGTGATGTATGTTGTGGCTTTGGAAGAGCTTTATTCAAAGACACAAACTGTATGCATGTATTCAAGCTTTCATTTAAGTACAAACAACATGAGCTGCTCGAATGTAGGGACCATGAAGGGGAAAGTAAGGAACTGACATCAGCATTCAGGAAAGCTTAAATTCTAGTTTAGGTTCTTGAAGATGTTCTACCCAAGAGGCTTCTTCAGTTTTGACCTGTAAGAGAAGTCCAGTTGTTTTCTTCTGAAGCTCCTAGGATTTCCATGACCTGGATGACTAAGAATCTTCATAAACATACCAATCCTTGGACATTTCTCATGGGGAATACACAGTCACCTAATTAAATACCTGAAACAAACCACAGAGCTACTATTCCACCCTGTGCTCCGATAGGTGGCGGTGATGCATCTTTAAGCTGGTTGGCCAAGCAAAAGTTACTTTACTTTGAAACGATAACCGGAAGTAGTGTTACGGGAAAACAGTCCGACTCCGACCATCATTGCTCGTCTTGTCTGTCACATGCAGCATATTACGTGTAATTAGCTCATGTTTGGAAGTGTTGGGGTTTGAGGAACGACAAGCAAACAATCTACGAATGTTTGTTAGCCGAGCGTGTCATTAGCAGAACCTACAGGTGAGCGTGTCTTGGTTCCTAAAAGCTAAATGCGTTTGAAACTTCCGTTGTTGTTGACTTGAGGCTAGCTAAACTTTATGAACACAGGTACCTATAAAATGCTCGACACAGTCATGATTGAGCTGTAAAATAACTTCTATACCCGCTGTCACTTAGTCTCACTATAACCGTGATATGTAAATATGTAGAGCTATTTCCGTAATTAAAGTTTTCTTGAAGCTAATTAGCTAGCCTTCTAAGGAACTAGCGTTATTGCAGTAACAACAAGCCTTAACCTCAGATATAGCACAATGTAAGCTTCATTTCAAGGTGACATGTCTTCATAATGCCTAAGTCACCACATGTTATTGACCTGGTGTAAGAAATAGGACTTCTAAGGATGTAACTTTTACACTGTGTTGCAAAGATTAAGAGAAGTCAGGATGCCATATGGCGCTAAGGATGTTTACCTGTTACTGTAATTTGGCCAAAAAGGATATTGCCAAGATCCCTTTTATTATATGGACAAAATTTATTTCACACTTCACTAGCTCGGTATAGACTTTATACTACTACAGAATCTACATCTGTTGTAAAGGGGGAAAATAAAGTTTCATTACACCCAAGATGAAGAAACAACTTACATTTTCGAAAAAACCACTCGAGAGACTTTTCATGAATAAAATAACTGATGTTTCTGAGTTCCCCAGAAAATTAAATATCCAACAAATGATTGTTAATCAATAAATCATATTGAAATGCAATATTGCCATAAAGCAGTCCTGTAAAATGATGCGCAACATTTTCTTCAGTGGACTAACAGAGGTGATGCAGGGAAATAAGAGACGATTAATTCACATGATGAAATGTGACGCTGTGCTTTAGTGCTTTTTGGTCATCGATCTTTTCGCTTTTGCAGGATCTCGCCAGACTTTGGATGGAGTCAGCACCCAGGTTTTCACTGTTTTATGTAGTCACCAAAAGGGCCCTGAGGGTTTGGGATTCAGGCCATCCTGCACATCAGCGAGAGAAAAATGGTCAAATATTTCTGTAATAGCATCGACATCAAGAGCGCGTGGGACCATGTTGTCTCTGCTTTCTGGCAGAGGTACCCCAACCCATTCAGGTATTCCTTTTTTTTTTATTTGTGAGTATTTTAGCAGAGGAGCTTCTTTGAACACTGATGACCGTGAATAGCTATACAGAGTTTTTGTAAAGCTATTCATAGTCATGAATTTGAGAGACTTTTTGTGAACCCCTGACTTCTCCACCTTAAGGTTGACAGCTGTGCTTCACACAAGTGAGAGAAGAAGAGTGAAATATTTTGACAGCCATCAGATAAATTGCCATGAAATTTGCTACAAGTGTTCAAGTTCCCTGCAGGATGAACTCTTTTGACTTTTGTCTATCATCATGAGCTGGCTGACATTTTTAATGTTATTGAAATATCATAACGACTACTGGCTGGGTTGTTATGAGGTTCGATACAGACTCTCACGGCTCCCAGAAAATGAGCTATAATTGCTTTGACCACTTGACTTGCTCAACTATTATCATTCCCTGCTTTCCCAGCTGGACTTTGTGTTTACTGCTAGTAAGCAAATGCTAGCCGCCTAACTAAAATGGTAAATTATACTGCTCAGCATGTGAACATGTGATACTTCACTGGGTTAAATAATTCACAGAAAGTGATTAAAAAGTGTCATGTTTTGAGAACACTATTTCAGGATTAGGGACTAACAGTGTCAAATTTCCGTCGTGCCCCCGAGACAATAAATCCCAATCATGATAAGATTACAGTATAAACAGCAACACTGTGTATTTATCATGTGTTTTAAAAAAGCTTTTTATTTTGAAAATCTCAACTTTCAAGAGAAAGTTCAGATTTCATTAATAGTACTTGTGGTGTGTTTGTAGCATCTTTGCACTGAGAGACCTGCAGGAGTGTAAAAAGTTAGAATAGAGACTAGGTCGACTGTTTTTCAGTGGATTGTTGAGTCCTTCTCCAGAAGGCAGTGTAGGTGGAAAAAAAAAAAGAGTATTGCATGTGCATTGCTTTGCTTTGACTGACAGCAAAATGGAGCCCTTAGTCATGATCAAGACAGAACTGAGAAAACGCACTAGAGAAGTAAAACTAAGTTTAGCCTTCCTGAGCAGTCAGGCAGTTTGTTTTTTTGTTGTCCTAGCAGCAACAGAAAGTTGAGAGTTGTACAAAGTTTCACAAACATAGGGCTGTTTGGTTGTCTACAAAGACGCCAGATCAAGAAATGTTTGCATGCATTTGCTTTTAACTGATGGTTTGATTGTGGAGCACTGTTTAAACACAAGGGAAAGTAAGCTCAAGAGGATAGAAAACCTCAAACCTATCAGGAACCATTCATCTGACACAGCTGTGTGTTTGTGCCTCAACCAGCACCCATGTTCTCACAGAGGACGTTGTGTACCGGGAGGTAACCGCGGACCACCGGCTCCTCTCCAGACGCCTCCTGATGAAGACCAACCGGTTGCCTCGCTGGGCAGAGCGGTTCTTCCCTTCCGGCATGTCTCGCTCTGTGTACATCATCGAGGACTCCATTGTGGACCCTGTCAACAGGAGCCTGACTACCTACACCTGGAACCTCAACCACACGACACTCATGGTGAGGCCTTTCGTTCTCTGTGGTCTCTTGCTTTTAGTCTACATTTCAGTGACGCTGTAATGAACATGCAGCCTTTTGCTATCACTGTCT